CCTACCCTCTCAAAAAGAAAATGTTCAGTTAAGGGAAAGACGGCAAGATTGGAAAGTGAAGAGGATTCATGAACTCAGTTTTATTTTAAGATGTGGCCGTCTACAGCATTATTAATATTCTATTTCCACTCTCCCTGCCTCAAAGATACTGCAATGCCAATACTACACTACTCAAAATATGCATGTATTAGAAAGGTGTGAGAATACAGACATTTGATTAACTATGAGTTTGATAAATAAATAAAACAATATCAGGTAGACTGCAGGTATTGGTCAAATCAAATAAAGATTTTCCATAGAGGATTATTAAAAGTTGAGCTACTTATAGGATATAAAACCTTTTTTACTTCATAATGTTGAAAGTCACGACCATCAGGGGCTCAAACTGCCTCAGTCTGTGTGCATTCATGGCCCACTATTCGGGGCACATAGACTACAACTCATTTCAGACGAGGTTTACAGACGACAAGATTATTTCACTAAAGGAATCTGGACTCAAATATCACATTAGTACACAGGAGGGGTCACTGCAGGGCATTCTGTGTATGTATCAAGCAAAAGAGGGGGTGTCAAATGAACACAGAGTGGATACATGAGCCATATAGAAGGTCAAGGTTGAGAAAAGAATCCCGACTATTTATTATTAAGACTTATCCATTAGAACAAGTGCACCACAGAAATATTTAAGTAAACTAATAAAGAAAAGGCAAGAAATGTGTGACTGATTATCACAACTGAATTTGATAGAGCTCTTTTCTTCAATGTACTTCAAACTGCAAGGCCATCGTGGTTTAGGCTATGAAAAATAAAAAAACATTTGAAACTATGGTAGTTCATGATGGGCTGAACCCACGTCTCTCAACTGCTTTTATTTGAGGACCTGTCAATCAATCAAAAAGAAGGCCTTACTGTAGATGCAATAACCACTATTTGTTTTTCTCCAACTCAGCTTACAAAACAGGTGGATTTGAGCCTTACTGTCTAAATAAATGGATGGTTTTTTCACCTTTATTTGGGTGGACATGCAAAAGTTGTAAACGTCTATTTTGCTGTCCTGAAAAACCCTGGGAGGAAACCACTCCTGACCCTGACGTAATTTCTCTGTCTCATTCCGGGGGTGCGGTCGAATAGTCCATTTAGCTTAGGAACCTTCCTAACGGAGTGAAATGACCCGGAAGTACCTCAGTGGCAGCCATGATAAGTGCCGTTCGAATTCTCTAGATGATAGGAAAGGAAGATTCAAACTTCCTTTATAACCTCCTTTAGCTTAGGAACCACTGGACCCTGGACTGGCAAGCCACCTGGGTTCTTTCAGTGGTAACATAAGGGCAAACATCAAAAACCTTGGTGTAACTTTCGATCAGTCTATGCTACTAGACAAACACATAAAACTTCTGACCCGTACCTGTTTTTTCCATCTCCGAAACATTGCTAAGCTCAGGGGGGTTCTATCAAACACAGAAATGGGGATGGCTATTCATGCCTTTATTTCATCCCGGCTGGATTACTGTAATGCTCTGTTCTCCTGCCTCAACAAAACATTAATAAACCGGTTACAACAGGTCCAAAATGCTGCAGCCAGTTTACTCACTCGGTCCAAAAAAACATGCCACATCACTCCGATCCTTTCTGCCCTGCACTGGCTCCCTGTCCATCTCAGAACCCAATTCAAGGTTTTGGTCTTCACTTATAGAGCTGTCCATGGCCAAGCCCCAGCCTACATTAATGACCTGATCCTCCCTCATAGCACAACCCGGGCCCTGAGGTCCTCTGAGCAAGGCCTCCTAAGGGTGCCCCGAACCAGGCTAAAAACCAAGGGGGACCGTGCCTTTGAGGTGGTGGCCCCAAGGCTCTGGAACAAACTCCCCCAGACACTAAGAGCCTCTGCCTCAGTAGAGATTTTTAAGGGGCAGTTAAAGACCCACCTCTTCCGTCAGGCCTTTGGGGCATCGGAGGAGGTGAGTTAGTAGCTGTCTTTTATTGGTGTTTTATCGTATGTTTTATCCTATGTATTACCTGCTGTTGTCTTATGCCTTTTTATGCCTTTTATTCTACATTTTAGTTGTACTGTGAATTGTGTACTGTACTGTAAAGCACTTTGTACATTCGTGTTGTGAAGGGTGCTATATAAATAAAGCTTTACTTACTTACTTACTTACCTTCCTTTACGAAAGAAAAGGAGAAAATGCTGCCCCACAATGCCTTGCGGCCGCAGCATTTGCCGTCACACAACATTCGGCCGTTCACGGAAACAACCGATTATGACAGAGAAATTATATCATGAAAGTTACGGTGCTTATTAAGCATTCTACAACGTATGTGGTAAGTTGCCAAAGTGCTTTGTTTTGAACGTTCATCAGTATTATAATAAAAAAGAGAAATATGAACGTTAGTTTTTACTGAAATTATTAAATAAAGTCAACATTTCACAGTCTTTACTGAGCTGTGTGGGGTTTGTTCAACTTCTAAAAGACGTTTGAATGGTGATATACACAGTGATAGATGTTAAGGACTAACGTTTTTAATAAATACATTTGTATTGATTTTAAGATATTTTCATACAATCATACGTATTGGGATCATTTGTATTAATGTGGACCGGAGGGAGAGGGTGACGAGCATAAGTTTCACTTTCCTTTTTTATTTCAATTCCAACTTTGGTCATGAAGAATATGTTTCTCTGTTGTCCACGTTCATAAAGCATAAAACGACAGCATCAGAGCACGGTACAGAGTCTCTAGATGAGTTTACAGTAGTCCCTCGTTCTTATTCTACATCATGTAGTCCGCTGAATAGGAAACTGTTGTTTCCCCACAGCAGCAGACGCACATTCATGACGTCCGCAGGCGCATCATAAACACGTCGGATAGTGAAAGTGCAGTCTGATTCTCAAAGTCCTTTTGAATTCTCCTATCCACTATCCCTTAACCCCGTGACGTTTCACACAGAGGTCAAGGGATAGACGATAGGAGCTGATTTTTGGACTATTCGACCGCAACCCAGGTTTATCTTTCACCATTGCCCTTCCCCGCCCGGTTCTTAGCGTTTCCCTCCTGCAGGCCTGACATGAAGGGAGATTCCTCTGAGGATTACCCCGCAGGTCCCATCAAAGCCACGCTGCTGACTGCCCGACATCTCTAATGCTTAGATAAAGAAGAAAGGAAACTCAATCCAGAGCACGAGATTTCAGTACCCTACATTATCTGACATTTCTACAGAAGGGAAGACGGAGTAAAGGCAATTCACGTAGAAACTCCCTAACCAAACCAATGGCTTTAATTTTCTTAATATTAGTGGTTTATTCTCTGAATGATTGACCTAGGTGAGGGGGATTGTGATGCTTTATTGACTCACATCAGATCCCCTTAATCTTGAGTATTACTGCAGCTATGAGGTGTTTAGAAAGCAATAAATGGCCTAGAATATTGGTAAAGTTAGCTATTCAAGGCAGGTAGGACAGCATGACAGTAGTATAAGCAACCATTGAGCATGAGTTTGATTCATTAATAGCAGGTAAAGATATATCTGTGGTGCATATATTATACAGTTCCATTGTGTTGGGCACTGATTACAAAAAAATCAGTTTAATATAAGATTTTTAAAGAGTTTTTTTTGAGGCATCCCTATTGAGAGTCCAATAACATTAAAAACCTGGAAAAAACAATATCTGAAAATATATATGCCACCAGACTTCAGCGAGAAAAGTTAATTTAAATGAAGTCGCACAATGATATTCCAAATACACATCACCTAAAATATGCTCTCTTTGTTGTTGACCAAATGTTATTAGTTAGTTGTTGATTTTCTTAATCCTGAAAATCCTGTCCATGCATAACGATACAAAATAGACACATGGGGTGTTTCTCAATGTCGAGGAAGGCTGCTCCAGAGCCACTATTTCAAGCATACTACGTCATCGAGTGCCGCCAAAGGACTGTTCCAATGTCCAGCATACTAGGAATTCTACCGAGGCCGGCGTACTTCGTAGCGAGAAATGTCGAGGCTGCACATGTGTAGACTCCGCGGTCTTAAAATCCCCACAATGCTTTGCGCACGGATCAATTTCCAAATCTTTGGCGGAAATCGCACTCCATTTAAGGCGGGGCCTCGCATATGACGCACACCTGCACACCCGTTAGCCTGTTCCACAATTCTTCGTTTTCCGAGGATTCTTGCCTCGCTTCTGAAGCAAGTGACTCGGAAGACATGTGCTACCAAGCAAGCGTCCTCGACATTGAGAAACACTCATGGTCAAATAAAAAAGGTAATTTTGTTGCCTATATCGGACATATTTAGTCATTTAACTTACCAGGGGAAACAGCACTTGTTTTTTGGAGATCCTTGCATAGTATTCAACCTGAAACAAACAGAAAAATATACAGTAAGCATGATGGAAGGAATAAGGAAACCTAAATATTTCTAGAAACAAAAATTGATACCAAAGGAGAGATAAGGCAATGCTTAAATAGGTTAAAAAGAGACATTGTAGTACTGTAGCGTTTGTAAGATAACGTCATGTGTGAGTTTGTATCCTGCAGAGAAGTACATGTGCAGATTTCTCCCGACTATTGCCTGAACGTGCTTTGATTCCTCTCGTCTCCATTATCAGATGTTCTTTTGGAGGTATATCTTACGTAACTGTAACAGCTGCTGCCCGAGCGTATCCACTCCACTGACAGCCAGGTGGGAGCGAGACAAACCGCACCAACTCCATTTTGTTTTCATTTAGAAGTGGTGTGCCAAGCAGCCAAAGATGAAAAACACATTAGTCCTCTCTAATTAGTCAGACATGACGGCGTTCAAACACAAGGCTTTTACGCTTGAGCGGCGCATCAAATCAGTCTATGAAACCCACATTCCACTTAATAAAAAAATAAAAGAAACATCATTTTAGAAACATGAAAGTACACATTTGAATTAGTGCTCCTTTGTCACAGCTAAGTAAGCTCTTTGGTTCAAAACAATGCGTGCACAGTCGACTACTTACTGAAGCAGCTGCTGGTTAATTGTCAAGTGGCAACCTGGAAAAACAGGAAGGAAAGTTTGAGTATGAAAGTGTTTCAGGGTCACAGTACCAAATGCGGATGGATTTTTGATGTGAAAAATGTGGAAGACAATGAAAAAATGTATCCCTTTCCTGTAGTAGTGTGTTATACAGATTTGCGTGCATGTAAATGGTCTGCAAAGGCTAAAATTCCAACGTTCCCTCCATCATCTTCACAGTGTTGATGGTAACATGTAGGTCTAAAGCGGGTTTGCCATGTTCATAATCTTAGCTGTTAGTGTTAGCATGTTAATATTTGCTAGTTTGCGGGAAACACACAAACGACAATAATGATGGGAATGTAATTTGGTATATTTGAAATTCTGACCGAAAATGTAATCAAATCAACAAAGTGATTACAAAACATCCTGACAGCTGCATGAATACATGTAGGTGCACCAAATGTAATGGCATCCAGTAGTTGAGACATTTCAGTACCTCGTTTAGGGTTGGGTTTTTTAAGTATCCTGTTTATGTGTTTTAGGATAAAAATATCCCATTCTGACTTCTAAAGGAATTAAGGAGGGTTTGAAACTAATAATCATAGTTTTAAACATGAACTGTGCTCAGGCCCGCGTGCAGCCCTCAGAAAGGGGGATAAGCATTGGAAATGAATGCAATCTTTTGAGGAATCAAGTAGCAATAAGCTAAACAGTTCCAAAGTGATTGCAGCACTGACGTTTCTGTTACGGCGTCGTCGAGCTTAAAGGGCTATACGCATGAGAAATATGCGGATTCAACCCGTTTTCGTCCTCGTGGAGCCTAGGCCTAAAGCAGCTGCCTCACACTCGCAACAAATCTCAAGGTTTTTTCCCCTCATTCCAATTTTTTCTGCGCTTGTTCCTCTGTAAAAAAGTGGAAGACATACTGCACCAACAAGGTATATCACAAAGGATTTATTTTGACATTGCAGCCTCCTTCTCAATCCAAATTAGTGTGGCTGTATTGTGAAGGGAATGGAAAGCCTTCCAGTCTATTTTATATTTATAGCGTTACACCTGTCACCACAGGGGGGGGGCAGATCCCCTTTGGGTTCTGGGTCTAATCCAACATTGACAAGCGAGGGGTTTAAAAGTAAAAAGTAATAAATCACAATATTCAGCAATGTTCCTTTCTGCTACGAGTCTCACAATACATTTTTTGAAATGAGAAATATAATTTGGGTAATTTAAATTCAAGTGAGCCAGCATTACTATATACTAAAGAAATAACTGAGGTGGAACAAATTCAACAAATCAAACTAAAGTTGGGAAATAGAAAATAGGGCTTCAGTGTTATGGGAAGGAGATTGCAGATTGATGTTGCTGACATTTCTCACAGTGTGCTTTCAGGAGTCTGTATTTTTGCCCACATTTCCACTGGCACAGATTAATGTGACAAATACAACGGGTTGTTTGAAAAGTCCAAGCTGTTCTTGCATTTATGTATTGTCAGCAACATGTAGAAATACAGGAATAACTCTCTAAATGTATTCAGCTAGCCTTAGTCACATGGCCTGAAGATGTGTTATCTTTATCATGTGACCTATGTGTAGGGGTCTTTTAACAAGCAATACGAAATCAATTTGTAAATAGCTCATTTAAATTGGCTGAATGGATCTTTTAATAAGATAATACTTGTGTTATAGTAAAACAGAAGAAAAGTTCCATGAAGGGATGACACCAGACAATCAACTATTTTACGAAATGATCTTGGGAGCTTGATTTGAAAGCCAATCTCACAAGGGAAGCATCACAGTTGTGGGGAAATGTGGTTATAGAACAAATGATTACTTGTTTTGGGCTATATTGACAACCCAGTCTCATGGCATTTCGTGTTATAGTCACAAAATAAATGTAATCTATTGATTCGTGTTCACCAATACGATTTTCCCAATTTTTTCGTAAAAGCAATGTATTTCTATTGGTAGTATGTTTCGTGCCTGCACCACGTATTTTTGTCCAGTCGGGTCTTGGAAGACCGGAAGCTGTGGGGTTCATAAAAACATGTTCTTACTCAATATCAAGCCACGATTATTGTTTTTATTTTAAATTGTATAATGTCTGACTTTTTTTGCCGTCCGTGAGGAAAATAAATGGGCTCAGAGCCTCAGAATACTGAAATCTGTATTTTTGAAATAAGTTTCCTTCTAATTTGTTATTATTTGGTGCAGGCACGAAACATACTACCAATACAAATGCATTGCTTTTACAATCGTTCTGTGTCAGAATACTGAAATCTGTATTTAAAAAAATCTTTTTTACCTTCTAATTTGTTATTATTTACATTGCTTTTAAAATCGTTGTGTGACACGAAAAAAATGGGAAAATCATGTTGGTGAACACGAATCAATAGATTACATTTCGTGACACGAAATGCCGTGAGACTGGGTTGATATTGATGTGCTGAATGTCTGTTTTGACATATACTTATTTGGTTTCTCCCTTTAAAGTAATATATTTAAACTATTTTGGAGAAAATCAATCAATCAATATCCTCAATATGTTTAAATAAATCCACAGGTAGAGTAATTTGCCATTACCAAATTTGCAGGACCACATTTGAAGATAGACAACATCATAAGGGTGCTTTTCAAAACAAAAGGAGTCATTTATTACTCAGACCACTCACAGGTTTCAAAGCAGTGTCCATACTGTAGCATGTACACCCCTTTTTTTGCTACGAATTCCCCCTATGCGAAGTGTAAATTACATATAATCAACACAAATGTGACTGTACTGAAACTTTACATAATGTTGTGTTGTGATAAAAAAATGCTTGAAACTTTACAAGCTTGTAAATGTGCTTTGTAAGGGAGAGCACAAAAACTAGCGGGCTTGCCCCGGCTCCACATACGGCAAAACGCATCGGAGTAACGCAAACGCAACCGCAAAAAACCTTCCGCCCACAACACCACGCAATATACACCGGATTGTGTCAAGCTCCACGAGACGGCTCCGTTTACATCCAACCGCTGGAAAAGCTGCAGTACATATGCCGAGCCTGTACGTGGCGCTGTAACTTCCTCCACAAAAGCAGCAACTTCCTCCACAAAAGCAGCGAAGAAGAATGGTTGTCATGGCTGCACTTCTGTTTATTCTCCTTGGTGGGGGCCGACGGAACCGGGCAGAGTTTTTCGCCGGTCAACGTGTGTTAAAGTTTAAATCTTCGGGACAAAATTATAAAAGTGCCGGTCAAAGGTCTTCATTGTTATTTATTGAGCTTTAAAACAAATGAATAACGACGATATAATGATATATAATCATAAAATACACGGAGCCTGTCTCTTTTTCCTCTCTTCTGACAGCGTCAGTGTCTGTCTCATGCAGCAGCTGATCCTGTAATGAGTGACCCGACAGTAAAAAATAAACATATTTATAACTAGTTTAGGTAGTTTGAGAGGTAATTAAAATAGCTAAGGGTGATGATCTGACTTGAAGTGTGTGTTTTGCTCCCGCTGCATCACAGCGGGAGGAGCTGCGTGTCTCTGTCCTGACAGATTAGACTTCACTCGCGTTTATGTCCATATCGAGATAAAGATAAATAATCTGAATTCAGTGTGCAGTGTACTTTTGCGGGGGTGAGCAGCAGAGGCGGGGAGAGGCGGGGCTATTGCGTCGTCATTATCAGAAACGGATGACCGTATAGGCGACTCCACGGCCCCGTTGGACCCCCCAGAGCGCTCCGTTCCCAGATCTATCCACCTTTGGACCCGTTGTCGTTTGCAGGGTCTGTTTCTACGTTTCCGTTACGGCGTCATCGAGCTTAAAGGGCTATACGCATGAGAAATATGCGGATTCAACCCGTTTTCGTTCCCGTGGAGCCTAGGCCTTAGGCTATTAACTATAGAGTCTTGATCACTTTAGAGTAATTAAATAGAGCCTTCCTGTTGCTTAGCAAGTGACAAGGTAAACAGTAAAACTTGTGACAATAAATTCACATAATAAAATTGTACAATAAATCAGGTTTGTGTTAGACCAGAGAGGCTGGCCCTCAAAGCCCAAATAGTGAATTGAATAAGGTTTACCGAAAACAGAGTGTTCCACTTTGGCAAACCTTTTGGTTTAAAGGCTCTTCAGGGGAGAGCAAAATAAGAAGAGATTGTCCTTTTTTGAGTAAATAAACCCTCTTTTTTGTCAGCCTCATGAAAGTATCTGAAGGTCTTTCTTTTTCTTTTAAAGAGCTGGCTGAAGGAAAATGCTCAGTGACCTCGGGCTCTAACAGAGTTCAGAGTGTCGTCCACTAGACAGAAAGAGAGAGGCCAACTTTAAATAGATGACTCCAGCACAAGGACATGAACCTGGGCCACCCTGACCGTCATGTTGACACCATTACAGTATATCGTGTTCTTGATAGTCTTACTGAAATACTATAAAACAAGCAGCATTTTATTTATATTCAGTAAGATAGTTGTAAAACTTTATTTCCCTCTACTCCCAAAGGAGTCCTAATAACCTCAAAGTTTGAGGCTTTTTCTCTAACTCGGTTCACGTCGGTCTGTTTTAAAATCTCTTCAAATCCCTTAAACCACCACCTCCATGAAATGCAGCAGTTTAGACCTTGTCTGAAATTCAAATAAAGTTCAATTAGCATTACTTACAAGGCAGCTTGAGTTACGAGCCCTCTTAAGTCTGTGTGATTCACCAAAACACTAAAAGATAGGAGGAAGGAAGTGGAGGGAAGGAATGAAACAAGGTGACAAAACTGTGTTATGTTTACAAAAAAATATACATATTTTATTAAGGCAGGCTTGTAGTGAAAGAGGAACATTTTTAAAACAACAAGAGACACAGAAGTTGAACAACCACAACATTAGCTTTCTAGTTAAAGTCTCCTTTTTGTCTATTTAATAAACATGAACCCACATCTTGTCGTGAGTGGTGTTGCACGAACAACCAAACGAAAGTGCTCGGCTAACGTGATTCACTTTGCAGGCTAAATAGCGTGTTAGCTGTAGCACATTAAACAGCATGTAAACGCACCTCTAATGTCACTTTGGGTCCGGTAAATTATGCAGTTGTCCTCCCTCCTCAGACCAGACGTCTCCCCATCACTGTAGCTCCAGGTGAAGTCTGATAACTTTCGGTAACACCGGGATTCTGCAACCTGACAGCTGCTTTCAATCAAACACTGACACCTGCAGCAGTGACGTGTGCAGAGGTGCTCTTACCTGAAATAAGGGAACCCAAAAACTTAAAACAGTAAGCCACGGACAATTTCCTTTTATGTTTTTCTTTGAAAAGCACATACAGAAAGTGACTGTCAAAACTTGTTCTTCACTTATCCTTAAAGTCGTTTTTAGAGATGTGTGCACTCAAAGCCCTCGGGGACCGGAGCAGGGTTAATGCTTTCTTATTATTTGGAATTCTGTCTGGCCTTGTTGAAGAAAAATCTGAGTGGTGGTGCCTTTTAGTAAGAGAATGTTCCTCCTGTTGTTTGAGTGCCATCAATCGTGTTTGCTGTTTTTCCACTAGCACCTTTTCATAATGGAAAGAGTTGTGTTAGAGCTGCCTGGTACTTCACCTTCAAGGTGGTCTATAGAACCCTCAACACTTCACAAAGCACCCAAAGAACATTAGCTCAGCTCTTTGAAGGCTGCTGTAGATTAGTCCTCTGTAGTCCATCTTCTCTTCACAGTGGTCCAGTGGGAGTGATATAAATTGAGGGGGTGTTAACTCCATAACCACAAACTGTCTCACAAAGATGCTCACTGCCCTCTAATGGCTGTACTCGCCTGAATGTAAACTGGCTGTTGAGAGTGAAATAAAAAATACTGGCAAACACAGTCCGTTTGTGTGCTTTTTTCTGTTTTTTGGACAGCTGTTGGTTTTGTATTTCCGCTTGCATCCGTTCAAACATCCCTGGTCTGCACGGGTCAGTAGAAACCATGTGATGTATCCCTGTGGGAAAAGTAAAGCGGCCAACCATCTAACGCAGCTCAGATCAAATAAGCCCAGCGCAGAGATCATCACCTGCTGGCTGCTTTGGCCTGATTCAACGGTACCATTCCACTATTTGGGAAGACATTTCCCTGAAAGAAATAAGGAAAATGGCATTTCATTGAGGTTTAAAACTGATTTTTACAACTGACTGCAATAGACCAGGGCTGGACAATACCATATCTTAAATTATTGTGGGGTAAACTGACCCACTTGACCTCTTTCTGACCCAATAAACGAAGCAGAGACTGTATATAAGCATCTCCTTTCTTATTGCCAATGTTGGCTTAGAGGGTATTTTTTATGTACTCTCTAGATACTACCTATACTTCACTACAAAACATAGGATGAGCTCCTCAGGGTGCTATAGGTGGCTAACTCAGTAGGGTGCATTTTTGGAATAAAACAAGTATTTTAAACAAATATTCTGCATTTTTAGACAATCTAAACTCCTGCAATGTTATCAGGAATGTGTTGGGAGAAATGTGTGTTTATATGTAAATCCAGAACCAGAGCTTTGGCAGCCAGTTGAATAGACAAGCTCTTTTTTTTGTCTGTTTCACTTTTCAGCATCACCAGCAGGTACATCTCAAATAAACCAAATAAACCATGTTTATTTCTGCAGTCTCTTTGTAATCAGTCCAGGGTTTATTTGATTTTGTACAATTTGGCTCTGCATCTGTTTCAGAGCTCATGACTTTCATCAAAATAGACAAGTTTAAAAAAGAAAAACACGGAACAAAACATATTTTTAACATAAATAAATCACAGAACAGCAAGCCCCTTTTTCCTTTTGACACACACACACACACACACACACACACACACACACACACACACACACACACACACACACACACACACACACACACACACACACACACACACACACACACACACACACACACACACACACACACACACACACCGCCAAAAGCCAAAATACATAAACCGATGCACATACTGTATGCTTAGAAATGAAACAATTTGTCACTGTAACATTTTTAAAATAGTCCTAAAAACGAATTCACCAAACACCAATGAGAGAATTTCCAATGAAATGTCTCTAAATGAATCTACTGTGGGAGGATTGAATTGGTTAAGCTGAAGAGCAGCAGCACACACACACACCAGTTAATTACATACCTTGAGTATGTCATTGCTAACCACTCTGTCTTTATCGCTGCAGAGTCACTTAGGCTTAGGCCAGCAGGGTCGCCTGCTATTTTAGCCAACACAGCAGCTTGGTAGAGCTTCACTCTGATAAAGAGGGTACACACATTCACATAGAAGCATGCATGCCCACCGCACACATCACAATATATGAGGGTTAAGACATTCCTATTGCAGTTTTTTTTAAATGATGTGGGCCTAAAATGCTACATTTGTTTGCCACTCTTACCTAATCACTGTGAGAAACAGCCACCACAGCATTGAAGGGATGAGAGCAACCTTCCCTGTACAGGAGGCGCTATGAAGCTATTAGCTTATCCAGTTGAAGGGCTTCATTGCAAAAAGCCATTTTTATTTTGGGAAGATTGCTAACTTGTTTGTCACCAAAAATTGGTTATTACGCTCTCTCAAATATTAGTTTCCAACCTTTATAGGATAGCCTCACAAACCTCACATGAACTCAAGCAGGCCGACCTCTTTATTGGCATCGCCCCTTGCGTTCCATTTGTGGTCATCTAAAATATTTATAATAGGTGGTTTTTTCTATACAGTTCATGTGTAAAACCTTTCCTTCACCATCAGTCTACTCTGTGAAATGCATCTGTAAAAGTCTCTTCAGACACACACAAACTGCAGGGCATGATGTGGCGTATACTTCAGCGTGTTGCAGTCTGGCTTTTACCTGTTTCTGCTTCTTCCGGAGCTGTCAAGATGTGATTCATCATCAGTCAGATTTCTGCTCCCTGAATTTTTAGGGGGATGAAAACCTGCATCAGCATGGAGGTGCTTACTGTGGTTGCTACAGAAGATAATATTATTTCTCTTGGATGGCACTTGTGAGAAACACTTGAGCAGCACTTCGTATTTCAGTCACAATTTAACATCTATTAGTCGTAACAAGGTCTGCAGCAATTTGTGCATTTGTACTTCAGTATAAAAAAAATCTCAAATCTCACATCTCAGACTTTACTTGTCTGTGAGAAAAAAATACCAGATATAACTGGTGTTGTACGTGTTGGAGAGTATTTCAGAAAAGATTGGAATTTGATGGGTAAGGAAAATAAGATGGGTTTCAGATGCAGCTACAAAAATGTAATACAATCCAGGCTTGGTTGGAGTAGTAGATCCTTGAGTTTGGTGGCTTATCAGAAACACTGGACAATTGGATTTGTCACTTGTAGAGACACAAAGAAATGTAATATTATTACCAGAAATGCTCACCAAAAGAGAAAAACTGACACAAAACGAAGAACAAAACAACTGCAAATAGACACAATAATATTAAAAAGAGACACAAAAGTCAATGTTTCAATTTATCCACAGTTCCTTTACCAGGTAAATTGTATGATGACAGTGTTCACGCAACAAAGCCATCTACCTAGAGATACGTTCTTGTAGTCATTTGGTAATAGAGTGATACAGGAATGAGTCCTAAACCCAGAAGTCAGTTAGCATCTTAGCACTTAGCTCCTTCGTCTCAAATTCAACGTTTTACTGAATTCGTTTTTGGTTGATTTAATACAATCGTGTGAGGCTTTTACGTGTTTTTAAAACAGCGGTTGCTTATAAATGGCTCAACAAGACTATTTATGTCTTCACAACATTAGCCACCTTTAGCTTAGCGGTGTTGACGCATGTAGTTTATAGCATCACGTTAGCTGTTGACTTCTGGGGATTGCATTTACGCTTCAACTATTATAAACGTTTTGTTACTATGTGGAGATTGGTGCTGAACAGATCTTATTTTTTGATAATTCCAAAACCAATGGAACAATTCAATGACTTTCTGTCGAGGGAGCCCTTGAGATGCTTGCTTCCAGGTAGGCCTTCAAAAAATACATTATCACTGCAACACTCAAGCACTGTTCCACCGTGTATGAGCAGTTACAGAAAATGGATGGATGGGTGTATACCACAGGTGTCATATACTGTAGACCATTTATAGCCCCTGATTTCAAAGACGCCATGTGTGATTTGGTGTATACAGCATTCTTATTGAGATGAATGATATTTTCCATGCAATGCTAATGTCTGCCTCACTGCGGAGATGTATTCAGAGCGACAGACGTTTAAAGCCTCGTGGATCTCGGTCAGTGGTTCTGATGGGAGCTCAGTCTGTTGAATCCAGCTCAGTGTGATCAGTAGAGTCAAAGTTAATTTTGGGAGAGTTCAGCTTTCTTATCTAGTAAATATATTCCTCACAAGTCTCCTGAGTTTAAGTCATGCTCTAATTGTGTGAAGTCAAGTATAAATATTCCTGTGTGAATCTTAGTTACTGACAGAGAGGCTCTCTTTTTTATTAAAGATAAAATAGATGCCATGTCAAAAGTGTATTACTTCTCAGCTCCATAATGCAAGTGAAAATATGACGGAAGAAATTAAAGGACAGATCAGTGTTTTTGTAGCGAGTTCAGATGAAGTGCATTCTTTTAATAGCCCTTCAATTAAGATACTGCTCACATCTTAGGAGCCGGAGAGGGAACCATTTCAGTAGCAAAGTGTCAGTGTCCCAGTCGTATTAAGAAACTTTTTCTATTGTTTGAAAAGTGATTACAGGACAAGTTAAGACAAGTACAGGGACACATTAACAGTCAAAAGAGAATATTCAAAGAGACGAATGATAAAGATAAGCCAAGGGGGCCAAAGAAACTACACTTCTTGGAGAGTGCGTGCGTGCGTGCGTGCGTGTGTGTGTGTGTGGTGTAACTGTGTTGCTTTCTTGGGCCAGGACTCCCTTGTAAAATAAGTTTTGATCTCAATAAGACTTACTGGTAAGATAAAATAAAAAAATTAACTATTTTAGTAATGAGGGTAATAACAATAATACAAATAATAATAGTTTTAAATATACTTTAGTATTAAAGATAATTTAACAACATACAACCAAAATCCAACCAACAGTGGCAATGATGTTAAACAATAACATAATGAAGTGAGTAAGTAGTATGTACAACGGAAATAATAATGTTTTATGAGCAGTTAGAGCAAAAGGATAATTTCATTCATTTGTAAAAAAATATATATACAAAAAATATGGCAGATAATTGTTAATTGATTTACATGATTTGTAGATTTTTCCATGGGGTGATATTGAATTTTGCATGTTTGTGTAGGTGGATGGAGAAAAGATGTTCCAAATGACTTGTAGCATTATACCAACAAAAACATGTCTTAACCCAACAAGTAATTAAGTATAGTACATCTATTTACCATCTAACTGCTCCTACTAGACTCCTGGTACTAGGATGGGTTAAAAGCAGAGAACACATGTCACTGTGTGTGCTGTGTGCTCTGCATGTGTGACCATTAAAGAGGGTTTCATCCCTCCCAATTATATTATATTCTATAATGTTCCAGCCATCTATGACCTGTGGTGTTGAACCCCAGTGAGAGCAGTGAACTCCAGCTCACCCCTTTCACACTGTTCTGTAAACGTGTTGTTTTCCTGGCATGATTTCCAGATGGTGGCTTTACCTGTGAGACTGACTTGTAAATCAGACGTCAGCGGCAGCATTTAGCGGCATGTTAGCTACACCTAAACACCTGCATGCTGACCATGGTGATCTCTGAGCTGAGATTAGCTGTGCCTGCTGCGCTTCTTTAGTTAAACATTATCACGGTCAGCGTGCAGGTGCTCTTATTCATCCCCTCAGCTGCATGACAGGATCAGACAATAACAGAATGAAAAGAAAAGTGCTATTATTCAACAGTTACAGACAACAATACAGTCATATTAAAATCAGCAGATTAAACAGAGTGGTAAATATGAGTCCCATAATGAATCATCAGATTAAGACATTATGACATCACTATGTAACACTAACGCTTCTATTGGCTAGCGCTCCAACACATTGTACTTGATAGGCTAAGGCTGCCTGAATCCCTCAAAAAGCCTGTAAAAAAGAAAACAAGGATTATTTGTAATCTTTTCACGAGCTCATTCACTCCATTTAAGCATCTTCTGGAAACTCCTAACATATTAATTCATCAAACTAGAAAGATGCTTAAATTACTTTGTACACAAAATGCGGCGATCAAAAATCTGAATGATAGGGCGTAAATGCCCCGAGCATTGGCTTGCAGGGTCGAGTCTCAGCTGGCAGTTTGCTTCAATGTCATTGTGATATATTATATATATTTACTGTCTTTCTCTCCATTTATACATTTAAATAAAGGCAGATTTATCCTTGAATAAACTATAAACATATGCGTTTTTACCTGCTGTGAGAATAAAAGCAGCAAGGCACTCTAGTTCTAAATGTACTTCTGTAGATACAACGGTGACAGCACACATATGCAGCTCCTGTATATATTTCCTACCAACTCAAGCCAGAAATAATTTTTCATTCTCCTCCCAACTTCCCCTCTGTTGCCTGGGTAAAAACTCGAAATTGAAACTGATTTACATCACAGCTGCCAGCGCCCCCACAGCGCAGCTCAAATCCTCTCCGGAGACATCCTCAATCTGCGCGTTATCCTTCATTGTGACAATAACTCCGTCGCCGAGCAGCTCCTTTTTCTCAAAAAATTGAATCAGGAAATTGATTTCAGACAGGGTCTTAAAATTCCATGAAAACGCCTGTGAAGCCTGCCTCCACATTTCTGCCTCCGTGATCCCAGGGAGTTTGACAGCGTGAGTCCTTTTCATCAAGGGCTCACGCTGGCAAGTGGTGCTTTATAACGGCCTGTAAATTGGGGGTGTTAGAAGGGTATTGGTAGGAGACCAGCTCCTGCTATAACATGACATACCGTACAAATAAACACCTTCAACTAGAGAGGAAAATGGCCGTGAGGAAAAGTAGATTTTGTTAATATTTGCACTATATCATTTTTACTTCGTAGTGTGCTCCAGCTGGTTCTTTGTTGAGACACACACACACACACACACACACACACACACACACACACACACACACACACACACACACACACACACACACACACACACACACACACACACACACACACACACACACACACACACACACACACACACACACACACACACACACACACACACACACACACACACACACCTTCCTGCGACCATTGTTGGTTTTAATGTATTTTTAATTTCCCATGAAGTGACTGGAGTCCTCGGTGACCGGCACTCCGTAATTGGCTGCCTGTGTGAACATCAGTCAACCTAACGAGAGCGAGGGAGCTACTACTGCTGCCTGCACATACACACACACAAAGGTATGTACCCTCATTTGCAAGTGAATGCAACCTGTCTTCTCTCCTTCCTGTTCTCTGAAACACACACAGAGAAAAAGAAAGTCTCATTAACCAAGCTTCTGCTGCCATTTCCTCCACAGGGAGCAGACAGGAAGTGTTTACCTGTTACACCATGTATGTGGGGATGGTGTGTGAATGCACAGGATACAATTAGCTGGATGTGGTGCATCAGCTGAGGCCTGCTTGAAATGCTGGGGAATGCATGCGCAGACACACATTTCTCTTCCATTTGACTCACATTGAAGAAATTCATTCTTAAGGCTTACTGCTGCTAACCCTTTTCGAATTGCGAACCAGTTCTTTGTGTTTCAACTGCAGCGGTGCTGGTTCTCGGACCAGAAAACTCCCAAAAGTATTGAACCCAAAAACTGCTGGGCTAGAACTGAAAACCACATACGTGAGAGGGTTACTTCGGATGCTGGGGCAAGATTAAACTGAGCATAACAGTTTATGGCATAAATAGATTTTTAATGACCACACATATGCCATAACCCTGTTTTGAACACCAGCACAAGCCATCTTTCTGTAGTTGTTATACTGGCTATCACGTGTCATCAACACACAGGCTAAACAGGTTGTCATATCACATCACAGGTAAGATCAATGTGAAAAAGATGCTGTTAAAATACACCGGCAGCAAACAGCTAATGCAGTCAGTCCTCATTCAGCCATACATAGACCCGGTTAATGTTCGGCAACCTGCGGTTTTATATAACATGTAATGCATTTACATAATATACACAATTATTAGTTTGTTTGCTTTTAATTTTGTCATTGATTAGTCAGACTGGCAGCAGTGGCTATGCTAACATCATCCCTGTAATAAGATTACTTTTTTGGCGCTATGTTGCCAAATATTGCATACTAAAACGGAACAAACTAAATCATTTATGTGGAAATATGCATCAAGGGACGTTGCTTTCGTGACATTTAGACAGTGGCTTACTACTTTCCAGCGGCAGGTGCCTTTAGCGAACGGTAGGCTAACCGGCGATGAAGCACAAGCGGCGTACCATTCCAGCACTCGGCAAATGGTACCCATTTATGGCGGCAAACCATATTCCAAGTCAGTCTGGAGAACAGTATGGAGCTGTGGAAGTCGTAATTCAATTCAATCTTCGTAAGAGCAACAGGAGCAAAGCTCTGACGCAGGCCGCTGCCTTGATTTAAAAAAAAGTGTCATGGCTTCCTGCGAACCAATTGCAACCCAAACTAGCACCAAAATAGAACTAGAGTGGAAAGGGGATTTGGGGAACCAATCACAGAGTAGTCATATATTTCAGTCTACAATAGATCATACACAACAGTACATTAATTGCGCACACACTCGGACGAAACACACAACACAAGGCCTTGTCCAAAGCAGTTTTGTCATATATAGGATTTATTTACACTTTCTATTTACAGATTCAAAATCATCTCTGTACACATTTTTAAATTCCAGAACCAGGACTCCTGTCACCCACACGCTCTAGTATTATTAGATTCTTCCGAATACTCAAGAGGCAAAAGACATGGATGGAGGACATTTTTTTCTTTCAGTTTCATAAACATATTTTCATGTGAGCGCGAAAAGAGGAACAAAAGCTGTTACTTCAGGACACCCTCATGAAGACGCTCCAAAGTGTGTTGGATAACAGATAACGGGCTCCAGCCAGAAACCAATAGGCCTTCATCACCATTGAGATGTTTGAGGATAGATTTGAAGCTTGTGAATGTGTTTGTTAAAGCATCTCAAGTAGTCAACTACTTCTGTTTAAAGGGGAAATGACTGCATATGTATTACAGCAAAAATAGCGAAACTGTTATGATTTGAAGGGGAAGGGGTGTTCTCTTTTCTCCATGACGCACACACACACATTCACAGAGGAGTAGCTGTCAACCTCATACATTATTTGCTGCCTCAGGCATAAATATACATAACCTGTAATCGCACAAACTAATGTAGTTAGCTAGTGAAAGTAACTCTAGGTTACTACTGTAGGTTTTTTTAGACATGACTTCTTGTGTTTTTGGTATCGGAAAGGCTAAAAAAAAAATTAACTTACTACAGCAGGAGGTGAAATCCAAAGCTTGACATGTACTTTAGTAACAATCGCTGTCCAGGGGAAGGAGATGGTGACCTATTCAAATGCCCAACGATTTATTAAACAGTTCATGTTGAAAAAAGACATGTTCCGTCCTTTCACAGCAAGTGTCATACTATTGCTTCCAGAAATCTAAAATGTGTCATTTAAGGTCAGAAACTCTCCGCAGTCAGGCACAACTTAATAGGCTCGTCATGTAAACAGCATAAAAAAATAAAAAAGGAAAATCTTTAAAACGCTGGTTGAAAGAATAAATCTCATATAAACAAAGACAGAGAGAGAGAGAGAGAGAGAGAAAGAGAGAGAGAGTTTTGTTTCCTTTGTCAGAGAGCATGGGAGATGAGGTGTGTAAAAAAAAAGAGGAAAAGATCCCGAGTGTGATCAAAGACTGACGGCTCTCACGGTAAAAACAAAGGAAAAAGCGCTGAAACTTCCAAAAGAAACACGACCCCGTCCCGCTCTCCTTCCATCTCCGCTTCACACACCTACACACACAGTCAGGCAGGGTGTGTGTGTGTGTGTGTGTGTGTGTGTGACAATAATGGGTCCTGGCGGTGTCACGGCGGGAGGCTTCAGACGTTAACAGCTCAGCGTTATGTCATGAATGTCTGATTTCCCCCCCCCCCCACCCCCAACATTAACACCAATATGGTGCTGCTGGCTTTGGGTAAGACATCCCATGATGCTCAGGGGAAAGAAGAGGGTGTTGTTGTGATAAGACACAATAATTAATAAGGTTATATTTTTAACGCCTCTGCTGCTTTTATGTGCAGCTCGCTTTATTTTTAGTAATTTGTTTTCATTATTTCACATTAAGATGAGTTTATTAATTCTTATCTGTTAAGCCTGTCCCGTTTGTCTCGTTGACATTTAAAGCCATTATTTTTGCACTATTCTATTTGTGTTTATATCACTATTATTAAGACCAGTTGGGGAAAAAGAGGTGCCGTTATTGTTTTTGAAAAAGCATCATAGGGGCCTCTTCAATTAGGAGAACTAATATAGATCAAACATGTGTAATCGCTTTCTCAAATGTGCAAGACTTCCTTAAAAACAGTCCGTGCACCTGCCGCTCGCATATCTTTATCGGAAATAAAATAAAGTGACAAGTGTGGATGAGATATGTATAGGAATAACTCGATACTGATGCTCAATAACTTCAATTAAAGCTGTATTTTTGAGTTTTTACTACTTTTTGGAGTGTTTGTAATCAAAGTGTCTGCTTTATTTTGAGTTTTTCAGTAACTGGTGCACATTAAGTTTCTTTGCAAAGGCAGAAGGAGAGGACTGAGGAGTAAACAAAGAAATATGTCTCCTAATTAAGGCTTTACTTCAAGACCAACGCTGCGAAAAGGCCTTTTTTTGAGGATGATTTCATTTCAAATTGAACTGCAAATTGTTATTCTTAACCCCATAATGATGTGTGTTCTCAATTTAGCAGGCACATATGTGGAATATGTGATGTGTGAGGTAGAGCTGGGTTCAGAGAGGGGGGGGGGGGGGGGGTAGATAATAGATAAGGAATAAGTAGCTTTCTCTCTCTAAATGGCTTCTGTTATGTCGACAGTGTGATGCTGCAGAGGGGTGGGAGGACGAGATAAAGTGGGAATGAGTTGTGTGTTTGTTATTTTAGAAGGAAGGAGGCATGTTTCCCCTCACAGATCTCTGTCTGTAAAGTCCTAGTGTTAGTTTGTCATGAAGGTGAACATCCCGTGTCCCTCCTGTCACACCGGCAGGAGAAAAAAATAAGAAAAACAGGAGAGGTCGTGTTCCTTCAGGTTGACCAGGACAACGGGCTCAGATAAATAAACCATGTAGCACGGCGTCCTTTTGCCATCTTTCTCTGTCGCTGCAAACTGAAAAAAAAGAGTCACATTTTGGCCTCGGGTAGCAAAAACAATGTATTGCCTTGGTATTGGATTTGTTTTGTTTTTTTGCAGAAAATATTTGTTTTCTGAGCGAGACTGGACCCCCGGCTGCTGAGCATCACCTCAGCGTCCTGCATCACCAAACTCCGACAAAAAGTCCTCAGTTTGTTCAGAGCTGATCAGAGAAAAATCATTTAAAAAAAGGGCTCCACATCAACGCGTTAAAATGCTACGCCACACGTCCTGCCAGTCATTGGTTGATTCAAATCTCTTAGTAGCTGAAAGGCTGAATAAGGGAAGAGAGGTTAAGAAAGAGGGAGGTCTGTCCCCGCAGGAAGGCCTCGAAGTTCAGAAGCAGGAGGAAGAGGAGGAAGAGGAGGAGCTGCAGAGAGTCACGCCTATCATCTCTTGTAGTGGTTGGGCGCGTCGGCAAAGGCGAACTTCAACCTGTAGGCTTCGGCCAGCAGCACGCTCACTTCCTCGTTGCCCCAGTGCATTGTGGGAAGGTTCTGCAGGAGGATCATCTGACCCTGTTGGGAGAACAAGCAAAAAAAGAACAATTAGAGCGGGAGAAAATCACAACTTTCTGGATAATTGATACATTTTCTAATGTTGGATGATGATTGCAATCCTAATTTGGACCCCGTTGACACCTTCACATGCAATCTGTGACTGGATATCGTATCTGGATGAGTAAAGATCCATGTCAATACAATTGTAATGGAAATGCGATCGACCATGGGACATCTGACGGTGATCTGGCTGCCGTGGTGAGCATATCACAGCTAGGTGTGATTGCAATCAAGAAAAAAACCGCCAATTTACTCTTCATCTTCCTTGTATCCCAATCAAGCCCGGAAAAAAGCTACAGACAACTCTTTTCACAGCAAAGGGATGTAAATATTAGCAGAACAATTTAAATACATTTGAAACTGCAGGGCCCATCTAAAGCAATCTCAATGCAACTACAGACTGAAGTTGGATTCTGGATCCGACAAAGTACACCCGTTGGGGTAATGCTAGTGTAGCAGACAGCGTTACACATGGGCTCTGCCTCTCTGAGTGTGACACAGATGTTATTAACTCAGTGGTTTAATAACAGCTGTGAGAGAGATAGAAGATAAAGAGGCAGGTACAGGGTACGGGGGAGGGGAAAGAAAGAATAAAGTGTCAAGTACAATCCAGTGGGGCTCAAGTCTTTGCCCAGATTCCCGTTCCGTACATTACCGTGTAAGTAAAAAGACAGAAAACAGGAACACACACACTCGGGTTCAATCTGGCCGACTAATGCGAGGGGAATGAGGCTGGTTAGCAGTGGGACACCCTGGTTCTGGGTGTGTGTGTGTGTGTGTGTGTGTGTGTGTGTGTGTGTGTGTGTGTGTGTGTGTGTGTGTGTGTGTGTGTGTGTGTGTGTGTGTGTGTGTGTGTGTGTGTGTGTGTGTGTGTGTGTGTGTGTGTGTGTGTGTGTGTGTGTGTCATGGATCAGTGTCCCGGGAGCTTTCATCATCAAGGCTGAAATCATTGCCGTGACAACAGGGTTTACAACCAATCACGGTGTTGATAATCACATTGAGGGATACATCATGTAGGTCTGGTGCTGTCGACACTGATCTGACTCCTGAGCTGCTATCGGAAAGGACACAGCTACGAATAGCATCTTAACACCGCATAACGTATTTGAATGTAATAAAAGGACATTCTTTTTTTATCTAAAAGACAAAAAATGTAGGGAATATTGTAATAAAAAACGTCCTTGTCTGATTTATCTGTTCGTATGCCTGGCAAGGACACTTAAAGTTCAACCTTATTCTCAATCTCAACATTGAAAATTCATTTTTTTAATTCAAAACCCATACTTTAATTGTTGTCCTCTTATGCAAGGAGCTTAACCTCGTCATATAATTGTAATACAGGCGTTTTATAACAGTCTAAATGCATTTTCCACCCTCATCTTCATCAAACTACACAAAACTTTAGCCAGGTATTTTCACTACAGCGGGACTCTTTGTATTATTTAACCCTCCTATGTATTAACGTGATGGTGTTTGGCTCCATTAATTCTTTCCTTCCTCGCATGTTTTTAATGAGCCGATGAGACGACCCTGATGACTTTTCAACAAAAAGCATTTGTATTCCACAGGAGGATGGAAAAGTACAAGTTTCCTACAACTAATTAAACTCAGAGCTGCCATCCAAGCCAGATTTTACAGATTATGCGGCAGCTGTGTTTCATCTTCTGAATATCTTAAAAAGGTGAAACTCAGTTTTGAACTTGCGTGTTCAAAATGTTTGTTGTTAACTGAAAGAGTAGCTGGTGATTGTTTTCACTTCCAAGAGCCTTGGGCCCTTGAAATGTGTTCAAACTGTTTCAGTATTTAAAAATATTCTTAGAGCAAAAAAGCTAATTTGCCCGGCAGTGTCGTCAAACATAAAACTCACGATTAGATTCCCTCTAAAATAAAACTTGTATCCCTATCATCGGAATCCAGCTGCCTGTTTCCACGGTTTAAAAAGCGCTATAATAGATGCTCATTTAAGGAACAAACCTGAACCCTGACTTTAAAAGGCTGACCTAATAACATTCCCCCTGGTTCTGAAAGACGCACTCCTCTGAAGTATTTTCGCTCACAGGGAAGGAGAGGCAGTCTGATCAGGATTCAGCACATCTTTTCTCTCATCTGTATTCAATAGAGCATCACTATAGCGCTCCGCCGTTCACCACTCACCCTCTCCCTTTCACACACACAAATCCAACAATGTAGCTCACGGCTAAAGGAGTGCGCATTAAGTGGGTTCATGTGTTGCGTATTTATGATTAGGTTATGTTTGCTCACGGGGAAATGATTAAATGCTTAAGAGAAAAAGGTTTTGTCCTGCTAAAAACATCAGGCAACTGAACTTCTCCCCATGTACCAGTCAGACTTAAAGAGCGCAGTTCATGTGTATGGATGCTTTGTGTTTATGTAATAGTTTGTGTGTAGTAAGTATTCTGTGTGTGGCCGCGGAGGTCCTGGGCGCCTGGGGCTAGACACCATGTACCTCCCCGACTGCACCGCCCCAGGCTCTTTAGAAAAGAAAAAAACGTAAGCCTCCCTATGGAATAACAACACTGTATCCAAGCTATGACTTTTAGTGAAACAACAAGCCGAGAAGCTAACAAGTCCACTAATATTCTTTCCTTAATCATTAGAAACTCTTGAATTCAGTGGAGGGATTTAACAACCAAACCAGATCAATAGGATGCTGTTGTTTTAAAGCAACACTTCGTAACACGGGGTGGAGAATGTTGCCTTATAATATTATCAGTAATGTATTTGACTTTTTTTATATTTTCTTGTTGTGTAACTATGTTGCAACATGTGTACCTAGAGACAGCTAGTGCTAGCTAGCGCCCTGTCTGATATGAATACAGACAGACTAGAGCCAAACCTCACATATAAAAGGTCCTATTTTAACGGCAACAGCATAGTGATGGGTGAATAAGAGTAGACATATGAATCTTTATTTTTATAGAATGCTGTAGGAATGAGTCCCAAAACCCGGAAATGAGTCAGCATTTTTGCAATTGTCGTTCTGTCAATGGGCTTTGGTAAAAGGCCTGAAATTAGATTTAACATATAACATAAAATATAGGGATGCTCCGATCGCCGGAATCACTATCGGCCGATACCGATCGAGTGGGTGGGTGCTATGGGGAACTTCCATTTAAAGTGATGTTCACAACTCAGTTAATGGGGCTCATTCACTGGCGCTTCCACAAACAACAACCAACATAATTATTACATTCAAATTAAGTACATTATTCATGTTTACATTAACTTTGGATAATAACACGGGAGAAATGACCTCTCTCCCTCTCCTGACAGCCCGTCAGTATCTCATGCAGCTCACTGATCCAGTAATGAGTGACCCGACAGTGAAGAATAAATATATTTATAACTAGTTTAGCTTGTTCCAGAGGTAGATAAAATAGCTAAGTGTGTTAGGTCTAACTCTTGTGTGTTTCGCTCCGCTCACCGGTCTGTCACAGCGGGCGGTAGGGCTGCTCGATTATGGCAAAAATCATAATCTCGATTATTTGGGTCAATAATTGAAATCGCGATTATTAAAAACGATTATCCATTTACTTTGAAAACATCAATTTATTGAAAAAAAAAAATGTGAACAGTATGTTTTTAACAGTTGATTACCCTGAACTTTAAGTATAATTCAACTGAAAAACCAATAAAAAAATAAATAAATAATCGTTTTATTTCGATTATGTTGTTTTCATAATCGTTGCAAGCCAAAATCGTAATTGCGATTAAAATACGATTAATTGAGCAGCCCTAGCGGGCGGAGCTGCAGAATTTCTGCTTCACACACGTTGCATACCGCTATTTTATTGTCATTTTCGAACACCTTAAAATACTGTCAGAGTGGTGAAGCCATTTTGGCGAGCTTGTTTTGCCGCACACAGAGAAAAGTGTCATGTTTTTTACGTCATGTGATCGGCTCTCACGATCGGCCTTTATAGAGAGCACCGATTGATCGGCAGAGAGTGAATATCGGCCGATCGATCGGAGCATCCCTAATAAAATACATCAGTAAATTGTGATGACTAATAACAAACAAATCGTTGAAAATCAAAGGTTGTAATCAAAAATCAAATCCAATGGTGGTCTTAAAATCAGAAGTTAAATTAAATCGTTGAATTGTAAAATGGTGGAACCCATAATAAAAAAAGGTAATGCCTGACATGTTATGTGTATATAATGAAGTGTTTGGGTGCAATAGCATCTGTTGGGGTTAGAGGATGATGGGTAATAGTAGGAGGGAAATTTACCATGTGCTACCATGTATTTATAAATCAACAAAATGCACTAATTGTTATGCTACAGGAGAAGGACCAAATACTTTCTAATCAAATCCAGCTTGGAGTGTTACAGTTGTTAAGGCAACACACCCAAACACACACACACACACAGGACACGTTCACTGGCGCACCGACACACACAAGTACACACCCATAGTGACTGAGGAGCTTCATTAGGAGCATATTTCTGCACGGTAACCATCTGCCGGCTATCACTTCTGTTGGGCTAATGACTTTAATACGGTTTAATTGCATACATCTCGCTGTCAGGGGGGAACGCTGTATCCACTCCACTCCACACAGGTGGCAACACTCCACGCTGAGAGGCCACGAGTCTGTGTGGAGGAGTGTTTGTGTGAGAGAAGAAAAAAAAAATGATACAGTACATTTAAGGTAAAGGCAGACAGAAAATAGCAATGTGGGTGTGTGGGTGCTTGTGGTTATTGAAGCTTGAATATCCCACAATACTAACAAACACATTGATCCACCATTATTGTATACAGTACGCTACAAAAGGAACACAATTAGCTCTCCATCTCCAACGCTTGGCGGGGCTTAAAGTGGTTAATGGCTATTGATAGTGAAGGGAAAGCAGATTGTCAATAGAGTCAGTGCTCAGGCTCTTTCTTCGCAAAGTGAATGGGATAACATAATGGTTACGCAGAGATTCAATGC